CCTTCCTCTCTCACACATTTCCCCTTCAATAACTCACTGACGAGCTAACTGATGCAATCCAATCAATTCCAATGCACTAACTAGTTCAGACACAGTGCCCCCTCCTTCTCCCTCCTCTTTCTTTTCCTTTCCAAGCCACACTCGCAATACATACAAAGCTCTAGTGTCAGGTAGTTTGTAGTCATTTAAAGCATCTTCCAATACAGAGGCAGGCAGCCCAAGCTGAGTTGCAAGGAGAGGCAGTTTAGCTGCTGTAATGTGTTCTGAGAGTAATGTCAATGTCTGCTCTGTGACATACTCATCATCTCTCAGTGAATCTTCACGATCACTGGATACTATAAAGAAATAAAAATATCAAGTGATCAATGGTATCAATTACATGTACTGTACATGCATGAAATGCTAAAAGATGAGGAATTTTACTTTCTCAGCACATTTTACTTTTTCTTGTTGCTAACAAAAGACTCAAAAAGCTAAAAATGACTCAAAATTTCACCAGAAGGTCTATACAGGTTCTTGTCACAATTTTGGCATGAGCATTTTTAAGACTCAAAAATTTGCCTCTCCCTGCTACATACTTGTACATGTATAAAGTTTGATAGACACTAATCAAAAAAATCACTTTAACCAGTCACATGAAAGGAGGAGAGAAGAGTAACAGGGAAATAAAATAGGAAAGGAAAATTGCAATTTAATACCAAAGTACTGGCATAAGTACTGGCATAAGTTCCTTCACTGCTTTTTCTCTGGTCTAAATTTGTAATAGCAGTATCTACAAGACTGGTGGAACTGTCATTGAAGTCTCTTGATACATACACACAAAATTCAAACAATTCATTGACTTACAATAAGGATCACTGGAGACTGATTTAGTCAATAATTGTCTTGATGCTCTTGATGGTGGACTGAGAGTACGTGATGATCGATCATCTTTATCAACACTCAATCGATCGGGAGGGGGTGGGGTTAATTTATGACACAATAGGGAGGGTGAGGACGGTGCTGAATGTGATGATGGTGGTGAATGTGCAGAGAATGGTGGTGAAAGGAATCCTGGTCCCTTTGATCCAAGTCTCTTTGATACTAAGAGAAAGAGAAAAGCAGTAATAATACTTTACAAAAATAAAGCACTATACAGTAAGTCATGTACACATGACTTACTGTATAGTGCTTTATTTTTGAGGAGAAAAACTATTGCAAGTTTCAGGAATTAGCATGCAACCAAAAAATTTAAACTCTATCAAAATATTCAATTGGCATTAATGGTGTGTGCTAACACCACAAATCCGCAATAACTTTTTCCCGCAAAAATTGATTTCAATCCGTGAAAATTTAGCTCCACAAAATGAAAGCACTATATGAAATGTTATTTATTAAAGCTAAATGTGTTATATTAGAACCCCGTGTAATTCTTGAATAAAAACCCTGTATCCAACACTACAAAAATGTCTTACATGAAATGTGAGATGATTGATGAGGAAAAACTGATTTTTTGGTATGAGGGGAAAGGAGGAGGGAGGGTGGAGATGAATCACTACTGTTTGATACAATGGTAGTCTCGGGTTGAGGGAGTGGAGTCGAGTGAGCAGGATGAGTGTATCCTTTGTCCAGTGACTAAGGATTAAAAAATATAAGTAGAATATAACTGGGAAAATAATAACTACATTAGTGATACTAGCATAGTATAAAATATTGTAGTATGGAATACAGGTATAAAATTAAGCAGTGTGATACACTGTCTGTGCATGTCAAATTGTCCACATGATTAGGATTGATCAGACCAATTATTGCTAGTCCAAATGGACTTATATATATGTATATATATACGGTAAATCTTATATTTTTAATTGGCTACGCTACGTTATTTAGTTACCCACCAGTTCTTGGTTAGTCCCTGATAGCCATCTCTCTATGTGCTCTCTCCCTCTCCCGGCAGCCATGGCTCTCTAACTTGCTACAAAGAAGTAGCCGTCCTATTCACTTTTCCGCCATTATCAAAGAGATGGAGTATGTTAATTAATTTGTAACTGGGCGTGGTTTAAGCGTGGTAATTAATTGAGTTAAAGCGTGGGCGGGATCAAATTTGAGCAATTACAAAGTATGGCTGTACTACTTTCTGCTCAAAGCTAAAAAAGCTGCAATTACTCATAACACAGACTAGATAAGAGAAATACACTTGTATGTGTATTTTTTACAACAAAAGTTAGCATGTCAAAATTTGGAGCAAGAAAATGAGATATTCCTTGACATAAAATCTAATAGCAAAGGACAAACAAATAATAATTCATCTTCAATATTCAGGTAAATTAGCCCTATCAAAGTCAAATATGACACTTTCTCTCTTTCTTATGAAATTAGCAGGAGGGCTACCATCAATCATCAGAGCAGCTAACACCATCAAGTAAAGGAAGCATATGATATTCTGGTCATTACAGTAAGTGAGCACCAGAACAGCACCAGCAATCAAAATGTTTGATAAAATTGAGATTGTCTTCCTATTGTTAGTTTTGTTTTATTTTTATTGTTAGTTGCCTCCTAAGGGCTTTTACCAATCATTTATTAATGTATAATATTTCCAGCCATTGCTTCTCAGTCAGCCCACTCTATATATAGATCTACGGCAAAGACTAGACGCAAACTAAATATGAAGCTAACAAATTAGCTGAATACTACTGGTTATATAATAGTGTGTAATGGACTATATAAAACCTAGCTTTTTATGTTAAACATAAAAGTCAAAAGAGGCACAAGGGATCTGGTAATATGGCTACTTTAGATGATGGCTCTCTGTCTGTATGGACTGGATCTAATGATGTACAACAAGTTGAAGGCTAAAGGAAAATCTCACACTGGACATGGAAAAAAGAGGAAGGCCATTTACTATACTAGTGATTGGTCGAGTTGGTACTGGTAAATCAGAGATGACCAAGGCAATGTTCAAAGCAGACACAAAGGTTGGACACAGATCAGCATCTATCAAATCAGAGCGGGTACAGGTTTTGGAAGGAGAGCATGATGGTGTGAAGATAAGAGTTTATGGTACCCCTGGGCTCTCAGATACTGGAAGCAAAAGTGATCTTAGATGTTGTTAAGCTGTGCGACCATTTTGATGTAATCCTCATTTGTGCCAAGTTTAAAGGTGAAGCAGCTGATCATCGTATGTTCTCAAAACTAGCTTCCATCTTGAATAAAGAAATGTGGAAGAGGACAATTGTTGCATTGACATTTGCAAACATGCTTACTCAGTTAGGGACTGTTAAAAAGTCTACTGACATTAAGTAGAATTGCAAGCAAGTCAGCTCCAAGGATTCATTCTCGATGCACTTTCCAATCACTCTATCAAGAACCTGCGAGATATTCCATTCTGTAGCTGGAGAAAAAGATGAAGCAAAATTAACTACAGTAGATGACTGGTTGGTAGCACTGTGGGACAAGTGCATTGATTGTTATAGTAATGAGACACATCCCTTCTTACTGTTTTATGTCAGGAACCGAGATATTATTAAAATAGGGTATTTTCTTAGTTTTGTAGGTACTGGAGCTGGTATTGGAGCTACAATTGGTTTTGCTATACCTGGACCTGGTACCGCAATAGGAGCTGGTGTTGGAAGTGCAATGGGAACCAGTGTTGGATTTGTAATAACTAAACTTTGTTGAATTTTGATTAAACCAACTAATTGATTGACTTTGCAATTATTTGAATCATCTTTAGCAAAAGTACATAGTGGTGACAATTAAATTTATTAGTATTAGCAAGAGCAGAGGATGGTTTAGGAGCTATACTGCTACTGAGGGAGTGTCTGCATGTTTTTATGCGTGGTTATACTGAGTGAGGGGCTTAAGAGAAAGAGATATGATAGCTGAACTGATGTTTAGCAATGTTTAATGCTGTGCCAGTGTATTATAGATTGTGATTCCTATTAAGTTTCACATCTGATTCTTTATAATTTTGTCCTCATCCCATCAAGTTGACATTACACAAATGATCTTAATGCATTATTAGTAACGCGGTAGCGTTACTAAGTAGGATTCACCCCAAAACAAAATGTCTGCCACGACTTTTGCAGCCTTGCTATCAG